TTTAATATATATTTTCATTTATTCAACTTTTAATAAATTTGTAATACTAATAATAAGTTGAGTTTATTGTTTATTTTTTTTCTTTGATCAAATATATCTACTAAGTTTATACTTCGTAATTATAAGAATTCTATTTGTGTGATAATTAAGGTGTTTACAGATTGAGTTTGGTTAAGTCGGGTTAGGAGGGTTTTTGGGACGAGTCGGCCATATATGGGAACCGGTTGAATTAAATGGCTGCTGATTTAACAAAACCAAAAAAATGTATAGCTATTGATTTAACAACACTAACAAAGCAAAAACAAAACTAAACAAGGATCCATCTAAGAATATTTTGCAAGTAGTTACACAGATTTAACAAAACTAAAAAGACAGATGAAATCACTTTGTGAACATTCAATTCTGTCCTATGAGTACCATTATCACAATAAATATAGTTAATTTACTCAATAAATCAAAAGTCTACCCTTTTGCAAAATCATAACAAAAAGCCTGCGGAAAAAATACAGGAATTTTGAAAATCTAATGCTACGCRCATGAATAAGAACCCAAACAACAAGAAATTTGATGCAAAAACACGAAAATGGTACTAAGGCCCCCACATTCAAAATCGGGCAAATACTTTTACAGAAATTAGCTCCTAAGAACTACCTCTCTACAGCGAGCCAACCAGCGGCGACGGAAGACAGAAGTCGACGGCAGAAGACAGCAGAGCAACGACGGACGGTGGAAGACAGTAGCGCGGACGACGATGGATGACGGCGCACAGCAACAAGTACAGAATACGGGCGGACGGCCGGTCGACTTACTTCTACTGGCGACGATGGGCGAGAGGAAGAGAAACAGCTACTGAGAGAGATGAAGTGAAAGTGAAACCGGCGCAAAACAAAATCCTAAAATGCTAAAACATAAAAAAAAAAATTAATAATAATAATAATAAATAAACCTATATATATGTATATATTTTTTTGTTAATCTTTAGATACACTCGAACCAGTGAACCGAACCAAAAAATAATAATTCAATCCAAACCCAACATCTAAGGGTCCAACTCAACCCGTTTTTTTTTTCAACGACAATTAGCATATGAGTTCGAATCTCCTACTCAAGAAAAAAAATATATATTAAATTAAAAATTTTCTTTAAATCCTGACCAAATATTTAAAATAAAAACAAATTAATTTTAAAAAACCAAGATTTTGTTTTTCAAGTTGGTTAAGATTTGAATCATGACGGTTAAAATAAAACTTAAACTCGCTTTCAAAATGGTCTTAGATTTTAGGAAACATAGGTGAAAATGGCATCACAAGTGTCGTTCATGTACTAATTCTGTAGTTATGTAACAATGGCTATGTATATAAATTAATCTCTAATCTGTTAACAAAATTTCAATTGTATCCTTAAGTTACACAAAATATCAATTTTACATTTAATGTATTGGTTTTCTCAATTCCTGTCCTTAATTGATAAAAATTGTCAAATGTTCATTTTTGTAGGTTGATTTTTATTGATCTAAGTCCTTAATCAATTCAGCTTTCAATTTTTTGCTTTTAAGGTGTCAATTTTTTCAATTATGTACTCAATATTTTAAAATTATCAATCTTACTTTTAGTGTATTTATTTTTCAAAATCAAGTCTCATAAGCTACGAACACGAGATACAGATATAACACAACACAAACACAATGACATATCATTTTATAAAATATAMAATTTTTTTTAAGTATATAGCATTTTTAATTAGAAGGTAATGCTAAGTTAATAAGTTTAAAAATCTCGATGCTTAAAAAAATGTGTGTTATGCATTTTATCCTCATATTTTATTATTATGACGACATATATTACTATTATGTCTATTTATTATGTTTTACCAATGACTCATGGGTTCAAAAGGGTCGAGCTTAATCGTAAGAATTTAGAGGAAATGGATTCAAATCTCACGATGACCACCTACCTAAGAATAAATTAGGGTCAAACAGTTAACCCGTGAGAGAGATGCACCCATARAACACTCATGGATATTAAAAAAAAGTATATTTATTATAATTAACAAGTGTATGATACATTTATAATAAGTATTAGATCTATACTATTAAAATGATCTTTAAAAACTATTAATGTGTCTAACTTAGAAGTCTTCAAACCTCCCGATGAGCTTAATACCAAAAATTCTTGATGCCTCTCAATCCGGACAGACACGGACTCCCTTCTTAAGTATATGAGAGGAAAGCTCTACTCCCCATTATTTAAAAAAATAATAATAATAAAAAATGAGATCTTCTAGATTTTTTGTTTTACTAAGAATGTCAAAGAATGATATTCCGCAACAGGAATGCTAAACTCAATATATATTCATTCTTCAGTATCTGTGAAGCGAAGAATTTTCTCCAGAACATATACTATCAAATATAATCTCAATTGCAATTTGTGTTGAGAAATTACAGCTGGAAAGAATCGAGCATGGTTCTCAGAATTTTCTCAGATGCCGGCCATTGTTTATCATTTGCACTAGCCACAAACAAGACAACTGTGCTTCCTTTTGCCGTTGCCTTAGCTAGATTGTGTGTCCCCGTCAGAGCATAGGGAGTCTCAAGTGTGTATTTGTAGTACTGCATAAACGTCGTAAAACAACGCTCTAATAAGTTTTTACCATCAAACTTCTGAAACTGATATGTAACACAATGCACCTAAAAGTAACTTAGACCTATTTGATAACTATATTTATAGTTCCTATGTGGTTTTGCAAGTCTTATTACCTACTTGCTTCTGAATTTTAACTCAGAATTCAAACGTAATTTTGAATAAAGGAGAAAAAGCATACTAAAGAAATGGTGAGAAAACAAGCACAAATTTTTCAAAACAAAAAAAACTACAAATGAAACCGTTATCAAATGACCAACAAYGCCTTAACTATCTTCAGTTTCACTAAGAGAAACTGAGAAATGTTAGAAGTTAGAATGATGGCAGCCACATGCAAGCTTCAAAGCTGCTATGGAAGAAGTGGAGTCCTAGCTAGATAGATAGTTCAGCAAGAGTTCAAATGAAGTTGATCTAAATTGGGGATGTACTTATGAAGGAACTAGGCACATAAATCTAAACCAAAAGAATCCGCTACATATATACTTTTTTTTTCCCGACAGAATCCGCTATATACTATTGGTTAAAATAATTTAGTTCTTAGCTTTAATTTAAGTTTCAACTTTGGTTGATATGGTTTTAAAAGTTTTCTTATCATTCTTGTATTTTGATTAAAGCTTGCTAGATGTCCTTGAGAGGAGTAATAGAGATCGGGTCATATTCTCTAACATAAACATTATTTTGATTAAAAAGTTGAAAGGGCTGGCTAATCTCGTTTTGGAGTGCAATAACATAACTAACATATATTTGTTTTCTATGACTCGTTTTMGAGCACAACTACAAATAACTACTCACATTGGGTTTTTGTTATGTCTTGCTAATGGTAGGGACATCAGGTAAGCAGGGATGATAACAAAGCTTTTAAAAGCACAAGGAGTAAAATAAATCTTAGGTTAAAGTATAGGAATTAAAAGTATTACTTAACCTATGCTATACTAGAGTGGGAGTACGCAAATCTCACATCTCCAAGTTATATCTACAGCTTTATTGTACTCAAAGAAGGATTATTTATAAAACAAAAAATTAGAATCTACGAGTCACGAGAGGATCATACCGTCTGATCACCGAGTTTCTCAACTGATGCTTCAAGGAGCTCTTCTGGGTCGTATGAATTTCCAGTAACGAAAGGGCCAAGCGAAGCGATCACCTTCTCAGGGCTACCTATGTCTTCAATTGTAGCATTAGGCTTATTAGTAAGACGAATCAAAGGGGAAGCCACTACCTGGATTTTCCCTTGTTTGTCATCTTCAAATTTTACCTCTACCCATGGCTCTGCACACTTCGGTTGACAGTAATTACCAGATAAAATATTTGCTACACGAGTTTGTT